CCCCAAAACCCCAAAACCCCAAAACCCCAAAACCCCATTTTAGCAGTAAATTTTTGAATAATATAAGCTATATCGTTATAATGAAAAATCATAAAGTAAATATTCTTCTTAGCCCAGGTGTAAACTTCTCTTCATTAGCAAGGAATGGAAGTAGATACCTTAAAAGACAGCCTAGTGAGGGGGCTGAGTATATCTCAGATACATCTCCTGTCAGAAGTCAGGAAAGAAAAAGCTCTCCCAGGAAAATAAACAGGAGTCCACAATGGTTGGAGCAAAGAGCATCTGCTCTTCGGCCAAGTTCCTCAAATTCTCTTAACAGATCTAACTCAAAGGCAGGAAAGGATGTTTCCCAGAAGCCTCTTCAGGGACAGACCATAATTGGAACAAAGATAGAAGATAATCGTGAAGTTGATAAGGTCAGCCAAGTTGTTCCATTAAAGCCTATTACTAAATTTGAAAATAAGGACTTCAGAGAACATGATAGTGATCTTCCACCTGCTGAAGGTGAAACTATGAAATACGAGAAGAATCATTTTACAGAACTTTCTTTCAAAGACGATCATTTTGGATCAGCAAAACAAGATTTAAACCAGTCTTCCCCACTCAAAATTCCTCGAAGGAATTTAGATAAGGAGGATGGAGAATTTCATAAAGAAGCTATTCACTCTAAATGATCTAATGATGAATTTATATCAGTGGAAGGCGATTTCCAAGAGCTTCATTCTCAACCATATGGATTAGATTTGCAAAAGAGTAAGGAAGATCAAGAAAGAATGACTGATTTCTCCAAAGAGAAAAGATCACCTAATCAGCACTTCAGGAGTAATACCAATCTCAGGTCTTCCTTAAACCACCAAATGAGTGAGCGTGTCTTGAATTATGATCTTAAAGGAACTTTATCAAGGGCGAGCTCTATCGACAAAATGAAGTAAGTCTTTATACAGCATCAAATAATCTTTGTATATTATTGACTAGTCAACCATTTCTTTTACTAAATTCTCTTATCATCACAATTTCTAGAAGTTGTGGAAATGACTCAGACATCAAATTTACAGAGAAACGGGATGAACTTTCAGATAGAGTTTCAAAATATTACTTTCAAAAGAACTCAAACTTCTCTGACAACGTAGAAGCTTATGACATTGGTATATTTATCAAAGTAATATGTAGTCAGACAGAACCTGTTTCCTTCATTTTTGAACGATCCTCAAAAGGATCGGGAGAGAGGGATTCGCGAAAGGAGTGACTCTAAAAATTCAAAAATACTCACACCATCCAAGATTATTAATGAATTACTCGATAGAAAAGACTCTGTCACAAAGGTTAAGAAGATTCAGACCAAGACAATCACAAAGGAGGAAAAAGAAAATGAACCTATGCTTGAATTTAGAGCTGTGATGTACCAAGACTTCCATGAAGTCAATAAGAGAGAGAGCAAAGAGAGGTTCATCAAAGGACTTTTTAAGCAAAGAGAGAATCATATCCACAGGTATGTGTATGCTAAAATAATTCTTCTATTTAGTCAATTCGGAACTGCTAGGTTATCTAAAACAAGATCTGATCTTACTGAGCCTTCAGTAGAGAAATCTCCTTGTCAGAACAGTCAGATCGGATATCAAAAATTAGGAGGTGGACTGATTCAAGGCAAAATTCAAGAAGCTCGAAGACAAAAATCAACCAGAAGGAAGAAATCAACAATGAAATTGAAAACTACTAAAGTAATGAAGAAGTATGTTTTGAATGATAATCCATAGAATGGCCCTTAAAGCTAATCAAGTAGAGCTCTCATCAACACTAGAGAAGATCTTAGTAAAGAACCAGAAGATAAAGAATGCTCTCCAGACCTTCTGTAGTAGCCCAGGAGATCCTTTAGACAGCAAGAAGGTCAATATGAAGCTTGTTAAGACATATAAGAGTAAGAGTAGAAAGCGGAAGGAAAAATAGCAAAATCAGATTAAATGAAGACCCTAAAAACTTAACTCTCTCTAAATCTACAGCTGTTTTACAGAAAGCTAATAAGAATAGAAAGTTAGGCCCAGTAAATTACTGAAAAAGAGCACTCGAGTGGAAGAAATCCAGAGACTTAAAACTAGAATCGAAAAGAAAAAAGGCTTTTAAAGAAGAAGTCTCCGGATGAAGGTTTGAACCTAACCTGACAAAAACTATGAGAAGTAACGATCTCCATTTAAAATCTGCAATCCACAAAAAGCCAAGTGTGTTATATGACGGGCCAGCTAGCGCCTTGTGCCCTATAATTAACTCTAAAAGGCTGGAAGAGAGGGCAAAAATGCGAGTAAAAATGTCGAATAAGAGTCGGAGGCCTCATTGAAGCACTAAAAGTGACATCTATTCTACAACAATGTATCGGATGCTGTAAGCTAAAGTTCTCAATTTAATACAATAAAATCGGGGTTTTGGGGTTTTGGGGTTTTGGGGTTTTGGG